ATGCATGCCAGCCAGCCAGCCAGTTATGCTCACGCCGGAAAACAGAAGACCAGCTCTTTCTGGTTTCCGGCACTGCCACATGCAAAAAGGCAGCTGATCGTTGCATGCACATGCGTGCCAGAAACCCAGAAGAGGAACAGTCAATGCCACATGTGCCAGGCAACATGGTTCCACGTGCCACTTTGGGCACGCGTGCCATCGGTTTGCCATCTTGGGCCTATATAGATTGAATACTTAGAACTGTAGCGTAATATAATATATTTCCATGCACAAATCATAGTGTTAATTCAATTAATTAAATGCCTACGTTGGATGTGAAGTGCATTTTTGAGAATGGGAAAATTTCATACTATATACACCCAGATCAAAATAAAACCAAAATATTACGTGAAGAGTACTTAGACTTCAACAATAGTGAAATTTCAAGTTCTGCCAAATGCAAGTCTTTACCATTAATGGAATCATTTCGTATCCACAGGTCCTTATTCAACACTGCTTAATGTCATAGAAATGTTTTGCCCCAAAAATAAACCAGTTATATTCATATTTTAGTTGTACACTATAAACACCCATTCAACATTTTTTATAAGTGCTGCCAAGATCCCTGCAATATACTGATTTTCCCTGTGAAATTACTATTCCTCAAATATGAAAAACATGTTTCTTTTAAAAATCATGGGCACTAAAAAAAAATAGTATGCTGGCTTTAAGAAATGGGGTTATTTTACCATACATTTTATCCCACTTAAGTTTTCAAAATAACTTCAAAAATAAGAACTTGGGAACTATTTTGTAATAGGTCTGTGGCCAGTATACCATCATGATGTCAACCCTTGACACCTTGTGCGAGATGGATGGCCAGACTAGGAGACTAAAGCCATGGAGTTTTATAGTACTTTTATTGATGTAAATATACAGGTAGCCCTCAACTTACAACTGCAATTGAGCCCAAAAGTTCTGTTCGAAAGTGCGATACTTGTTAAGTAAATTTTGTCCCATTTTGCAACCTTCTTGCCTCAACTGTTAAGTGAATCACCACAGTTGATAAGTTAGTAACCTAGTTGTTAAGTGACTCTGGCTTTCCCACTGACTTTGCTCATCAGAAGGTCGCAAAAGGGGATCACACATGACCTGGGGACATAGCAACAGTCATAAATATGAATCCGATGCCAGTCATCTGAATGTGATCACATGATTGTGGGGGATGCTGGAAAGATTGTAACGGTGAAAACAGCTACTCTCTGGAAACAAATATTGTAGGGGTAAGACATCCCTAAAACCCCTTGGGGTGTGTTCTGTTAATATACAGCCTGTTGTGCCTTATAATGGATTCTACTGTACTGCCGTAAAATGGCTTCTACTGTGCAGCGCAGTGGAATTGCCATGGTAATGGCTTCACAGTACTCCAAAAGGGGGCTCCCTCTGATAAGGGGGAAACCCAACATTAGAAATTACGTTTGGTCCGGACATTTTCCCACATTTTACCCCAGGGTTATCAGCTAGTAATAAATAAGATACAGATAGTCCTCTACTTACAACCACAACTGCGCTTGAAATTTCAGTCATTGAATGAAGCAGTCATTAAGCAAGACACCATGTGACTGTTTTGCTCAAAAAATGCAATCCAGGCTCTCCCAGTTGTGATTGTTAGGTGGACCATTGTAAAGAGGGCCTAGATGAGGCAGAGAGACCAAGCCTCCCACCACAACCAGAATGGGACAACTCTCCACGGCCAACTTGCCGCAGCTAACACACCATGGCACAATTCAACACGAGATAACTCAAGAAAGGGACAAGTAGAATTGCAGCCCAAGGTGCTTAGATCCAGCCTGCGAGGCCAGCCTAGAAATATCAAAGGACCGGCCCGCGGTGCCTCTGCTGGCCAAAACGGCCCGTACAAGGGCCCCCGGGGGCCATTTTCAGCCAGCACAGTGCTGCAGGAGGCCGTGGAGGATAAAAATGGGGATGGGGTGTCCCATGAGGCCCCCCACGGCCTGTTTTCAGCCAGCACAGTGCTGCAGGACACCGTGGAGGACAAAAATGGGGGGGGGGATTTTCAGCCAGCAGAGTGCTACAGGAGTCCATGGACGCCAAAAATGGCCTGAGGGAGGGGTTGCGCAAGGCCCCTATGGCCTGTTTTCGGCCGGCAGAATGTTGCAGGAGGAGTCCCGCCCTTCTCTTCCCCCCTCCCCACGACCCACAGAGGAGAACTACAATGCTGATCCGGCCCTCGAAGAAATCCAGTTTGACATCCCTGTTCTAGCATGCTGAGGGATTTTGTAAATCAAGGATTATCTTTATATAGACTAGGAGTCTAACATCCCACAAGCCTTATGTTGTAAGGAAAAGATAAATGAAAATTATATTCAATAAGAGATTGGAAACCTTATTTGGACCTTTAGTTTAATGAAAAAAGACTGAATTGATGATTTATGCGTTTGGGGATGAAGAAGGCTTGAAGAGGAGGGAAAAATTAAAACGGCAAATATTTGATGAAGAGAAGGTTAAAAGTCACAATTCTATGCTTTCTTTTCTCCTTTTTTCTTTTCGGTCTTCATTTTTCCTTTTATGTTTAATTTTATATACTTTTTAATACTTTCAATACTTTTATTGTACTGAAAAGTCTTAATAAAAACATTTTTAAAAGAACATTTCATTCAATACGGTGCAAAATTTTCTACATTTTAGAAGCTACCACTTACATTCTGGTATATATTTACCATTTTTTTCTCTTTAAACCACTGATAATATAGGACAGGATATCCTGTTGCCCAGCAGCTTAGTTTCACCATCTGGCCAGATAAAACAACTTGGGATTCTGGTTCTACCATGATCTTTAGACCTATGAAAAAGATAAGACCAATCTACATTTAACACAAAGGAAGCTAATTATATGAACACATTGAAGTTAGCTTTCTTGCTTATTTGTTAATTGGGTTTGTCAGGCTGTCTAATCATTAAAAAAAATCAAGACAGCATATAGGACAAATTGAAAATACAATATAATGATAAAGGGATAAGGAAATCTGAAAGAGTTGGAAGATGTGATTTTGGAACCGTTGAACAAAGTCTTTCAGAGACCTGGAGCAGAAGGGAACTGTCAGAGTACTGGAAAGGAATTGATGTCATTCCAATCGTCAATAATGGGAATGTTGTGACCTGCTAGTGGCCAGTGAGGAGGTTGGGGAGGAACATGGGCCAGTCCCGGAAGGTTGGGGAAGGCTCGGATGAGGGCTCTGCATCGGAGACAGATATGGGGCCAAGGCCGTCTGGCAGTTCTCAGCTGCCTTTGGAGCTAGTCAGCAGTGAGGCAGAGGAACAGCTGGAGCCTGTTCCCAGTATGTGCATGCGCAGAGCTGCCAGAAGAAAAGAACAGCTAAGAAATCAGGGTCGACTTGGGAGTAAGACCACAGTTGAATGGTGAATGGGTCATTCATTCATTCGTTTCAGGAGTGTGAAGATCTCTAAGAGACTCTGAGCAAAGTCTTTCCTGCATTTGGAAAATATTTACATTTACAGCTTCCCAAGCAAGATAAGATCTGTGGTCATAAATTCACCTTTGAAAGACTGTTTTACCAGGCCTTTGCTGAATGTGAAAGGGAGGAATTAACATTCCTTTAACAAAAGGGGTTTGTCGGGATCAGGAATCAGCTTTATGCTTTTCCAGGAAGCTTAGGACAGAACAGGGAAAAAGTGGCTCCAGGAAATTACAGTTTGACATCAATAGGAGGGGAAATCCTAGAAAAGATAATCAAGCAACAATGGAAGTGGTGCTAACATCAATATAAAAAATTCCAGGCATTTTGGATAACACTTTATTCAACAAAAATAATATTTCATTAGACTTATTAGACTCCACTGTATTTATATGGAAAAGGCATCCTATTGTTTGAGATGCAATCAGATTAATGCTTCATTTAAGCATATGTTCATATAGTGTTCTATAATTGTTACATTTGGAAAGGAAGCTACTACATGCATCTACTCAATTATGAAATAAGATGCAATATTTATTGATGTTCATTCTTTTGAACTATATTTGTATCATTTGGAAATTGACTTTGGGCCAAAGCAGGTGCTCCATTATTTACCATTATAAAAAATAAACTTTTTTTTTTTTTGCAATCTATGCTCCTTAGAATTGATGTTATTAGCAACTTATATATGAATCACTTCTCTGTGTAGATGAGGGGTGTCCAAACTTTTTGCAAGGAGGGCCAGATTTGGTGAGGTGAAAATGTGTGAGGCCGACCATTCAGCCTGACATTCTTTAAACCATTAACATTCAATGCTAATGAACTATTTTATGAAAGACTAAACAAATAACTCCGGTGGGAAGAAGAGGCTGTGGGCCGCTTGAAATTTGAAAACGGGCTGCAATTGGCCACCCGGCTGGACTTTGGATATGCATGGTGTAGATTCACTGTGGATTATCATGTTACTTGCATGTGACATTTAACCAGTGTTAAAATACATTTTTTTTTTTACTACCGGTTCTATGGGTGTGGCTTGATGGGCATGGCAGGGAAGGGATACTGCAAAATCTCCATTCCCACTCCACTCTGGAGCCAGCTAGAAGTGGAATTTGCCGGTTCTCTGAACTATTCAAAATTTTCACTACTGGCTCTCCAGAACCTGTCAGAACCTACTGAATTTCTTCCCTGCATTTAACTCACAAAAAGCAATATGACTCTTCACTGGCAGAATCCCAAAGGCTCTTTCTAACAGGCTTAAATAGGTGTACACCAAACTGGAATATATACAGGTAGTCCTCAACTTACGACCGTAATTGAGCCTGCAATTTCGATCCAAAGTCGTGATGATCATAAATTAAATCAGGGATGATCATAAATTAAGTCATGACGGTGCCCTCTTACAACTTTTATTGTGGCAGTCGTAAATCAAACGCAGTGGTAGTTAGGCGAACCCACTGTTTGCTATGGGGTATATTTTTTTTCTGGAAATTGGAAATGAACGCTGGTTTCAGGGGAAAAAATAATCATGGTCAAGTGGTTGCAGGACCCTGCAAACAGCTGTAAAGGTGGGCTGGTTGCTGAGTGCCCAAAATGTGACTGCAAGGCAGGGGTGAAATCCAGCAGGTTCAGACAGGTTCTGGGGAACCGGTGGCGGAAATTTTGAGTAGTTTGGAGAACCGGCAAATGCCACCTCTGGCTGGCCCCAGAGTGGGATGGGAATGCAGATTTTGCAGTATCCTTCCCCAGCCACGCCCACCAAGCCACGCACACAGAACCTAGAATAGAATTGAATTACACCACTGCTGCAACGGGGTGGGTCGTTGCATGTCAGAAGTCCTTGGGGGGGGGGATCCACTGTAACTTTGACTTGTTCCTAAGTGACTTGTTCATAAGTGGACCACTGCCTGTCCAAGTAACAGAAAGATTGTCCTTATTTCTTCCTTCCCTGATCGACTGCAAAGTCTTTTGGATTAGTTTCATTATTAGATGGACGCCAACATCACTGCATGGTTTAAGTACAAGATGCAACTTGTAGCAATATGATTATTAAGAGCTGGCCTAGGCTGAGAACTTAAAACTCACTTGGATTGAGCAACTGAAGTGCCTCGGTGTGTTGCAAAGACTGCAGCAATTCTGTCAACTCTGCAACGGTACAGCCTCTTTCACCCATTAGCTGAAGGAGACTCCAGCTGGGACTTCCTTCAGGAGCCAAGACATCCAGAGAACATTCCTCCAACTCAAGAGGACTGCAAAGAATGACAACAAATAGCAATAGCCATAATACGTCTTCCTGTACATGCAGTTAATTATGTGTGAGATCTAGATCAGCGTTTCTCAAACTCAGTAATTCTAAGATGTGTGGACTTCAATTCACAGAATTCTGGCTGGGGAATTCTGGAAGTTGAACTCCACACATCTTAAAGTTACCAAAGTTTGAGAAAAGACTGGTCTGGAGTAAAATTGCAACTCTAGCTCCCAGAAAGAAATATTGCAGACGAGAAAGATCGAGTTGGCCTTACATAATAGTCAAGAACAAATCTGAAGGGAGTTGCCTTCTCTTCTCCTTGCTCAACCTAATTAACTCCCTCCAAATTGATGAAAACAGTGCTAGGCCAAGACTTCCTGCAATGGTCTAAGGCAGGGATCTCCAACCTTGGCAACTTTAAGACTTGTGGACTTCAATTCCCAGAATTCCTTGTCAGTCACCTGGCAGCTGCTAATTGCACCAGTTGTGATACATCATATATGGATATTTTTTTAAAAATAGTTTTATTAGTTTATAATATAAACTACAAAGAAAATACATAAGCGAATAGGGGAAATAGGGAAAATGGAAGGGAAAAAGTAAGGAATAGAATGGAATATGGAATATGGAATATTAGAATAGAATAGAATTCTTTATTGGCAAAGTATGATTGGACACACAAGGAATTTGTCTTTGGTGCTCTCAGTGTACATAAAAGATATAAGTGCTAAATCATGATCATAGTCGTCATAAATACATTCATCATGAATCATAAGATAAAGAAAAGGGGAAAAAGAAAAAAAAGGCATTGACTTCCGACTCCCTTTGGTGCAGTAGAATAAGGCATTAACATCAAACCTCAACTTTTTACTTTTACACTATTGTATTAGCTAGTCATTTCTATAATAACAAATCTATCTAATCGATAAAACCCAAAATCAAAGTTTCATTTTTTCCACCTCAAGTCCAGAAGCGGTTTCCAAGTAGAAATCGAATTTAGCAGAGATGGCTAAATTCACTATTTTGATCAGGGAAATACCTTTGTTTCTATGTATATGGAAACTTTTCAAGGAGAGCCTCACCTAAGGTGCATTCCAGTGCACTGAGATCATTTATAGCCCCAAGACAGGGCTAATTGTGCTTGACTGGCCCAGGAAGGGCTGCAGATGGTGCACTAAGTGTAATTCTCACTACAACTGCCACTTGCAAACCCAAGGACAGATGGAGATCGAGGCATACTCTCAAACTGCCATCCTGCTCCTTCTGGGGTCAGCAGCCTCCTTCAGAACATATAGAATAGGGCAGTGGTCACCAACTGGTAGTCCATGGACCACTGGTGCTCCACAAGAAAATTTTGGTGGTCCGCAGAAAAATTATTTGCACTAAATTATATTGCACTAAATCAGGGGTCCTCAAACTGGGCTGGATACATGCAATGAATGTTTGTGTTGCTGCAGAGAGTCTCCCCCTTCGGGGTCTTTTTATGCAGCTCAGAGGGGGGAAGAAATTCCAACTTGGGGTCTGCTTCAGCCTCCTGGTGTGGAGCTTTGGGAGAAGGCTGGAGGGAAGTGCTGCTGGTGGAGAAGAGCCTTGTTCCAGTGGGACTGCATCATGGCCTGGAATTGGCTGACCATCTCAGCCCAGTGAGCCTCCAGGGGCTGGTACCTGGCCTTTCACTCCTGCAGATCTTCCCTCTTCTTGGAAAGCCTATGCTTGAGGTCCTCAGTGAGATGCTTCTTTTGAGCGTCCTTCTCAATCAGATCCAATTTGAACTGAGCCCGCTGTTTTGCCAACTTTTTCTCATGGTGGCTGCTTAGCTCCAACAACTGCTTCCTGCTGGGGTGTTAAGGAGCCTGGGCGGGAAGGCGAGGAGTGGCTGGGAGGGGAGGGGCGAGTAGAAGCGAGTGAGGTGCCCCTCGACGTGACATCAAGTTGGCCATGCCCACCCAGTCACATGACCACCTAGCCACGCCCACCCACCCAGCCATTAGGCAGATCCTATTTGTGGTCTGTGTGGTTTAAAATTATGAATTTAGTGGTCCCTGAGGTCTGAAAGGTTAGTGACCCCTGCATTAGGGGATGTTAGATTTAATCAACCTGGCAGGTTTGATTCTGGATTTCCTTCAGATATTCTCATAATCACAGTAGAAATTATGATAAAAGGTGAAATGGCGGAACTGAAGAATTGGATGACACTGCAAGGATCATCTAGTCTGACCCTCTGGAATCTATAAAACCTTTCCAAATATTGAAATCATCCATGAGAGACAGCTGCCTAGCTTCTTTTGAAAGCCCTCCTGAAGTGGTGTTGTAAAGAACAAGTAATCCTCAACTACATTTAGCAACTGTTTAAAGTCACAACAGCCATGAAAAAAGTGACTTATGGCTGATCCTCGCACTTGTGACCATAGCAGCATCCCAAAAGTAAAAATTTAGGCACTTGGCAACCAGCATGTATTTACAATGGTTGCAACATCCTGGGATCACCACTTGGGATCATCCCAATCAGCTTCCAGCAAAGTCAATGGAGGAAGCCGGATTCACTTCAACATAGCATGATTCACTTAACAACTGCAATGATTCACTTAATAGCCATGCCCCCCAAAAGGTCATAAAATTGCACGTGATTCACTTAAAAAGCACCTTGCTTGCCAGCAACTGAAATTCTAATCCCAATTGTGGTCATAAATCAAGGACTACGTGCATGAGAGAATTTTTCTTTCTATTTAAGGAAAATAGAGATAACTGCAGCTGGCGCCTGCTATTTCTTACACTAGTTTCTCTAGCAAGGTTTTCTTGATTATCTTCTTTTATTAGATTTTTATCCTGCCTTTATTACTTTATAAGTAACCCAAGGCAGTGAACCAGCGGTGGGTTGCTGCTGGTTCGCACTGGATCGGGAGAACCGGATGGCGAAATTTACCGGAACGCCAGCCCCAGCCCTGTCGCTCCTTGCTCACCGCCGCCCGTCCGGAAGCCACTCCATCGCTCTCCCCCCCCGCCAGTCCGCACTATCCTAGCCCAAATCAGTGTGAAGTCCCATACCTGGGAGTGGAGGTGGTGAACGGAGAAGCATGGAGAGGTCCAGCGGCACAATCTACCAGACAGCAGCGGCAAGCTCAGGAGTTTTCTCCTGGATTCCTCTCTGTCCTGCCTCCTCCGCTCTCCCAAAGTTCTTTC